CCTGTGAATCCCCTTTGACCACTGACCAGGGACGTGACAGAGGGCCTTGGAAAGTGGACCAACGTGGACACAGCTAACATTTAACACCTTCTCCTTTGTTCTCCCTTTTGACCCATTTTCAATTTGTTCTCTCTTTTAAAAAAAAAGATTTTTCTGCTTCCTTTTGGTTGAGGTTTTCCTGTTATTGTTTTATTATTATTATTGCGGTATGTCCTTCTTTATATGAAATCCGGGACAGGCACAATCTATAGAGGCGGGAACGGGATTCATTGCTCCTTAGAGTTACGGCAGGGGAGGTTGGGGGTAAACGGGGAGCTAACAATAAGGAGTACAGAATGATGTTCTAAGATGGATTGTGGTAATGATTGCACACATCTTTCTTTATTTTTTTTTACATGTTGAAAACTCGAACTGTGTGACATGTGAATTAAGTCAACAGAACTGTAAAAATTTAAAAATACATGTTCCATAAGCAGGGCTGGGATGACAGCCTAGGAAACTTCCTCTGCCTGCCCCCCTGGGAAGCCCCTGTCCTCTAGAGGGCGCCCTGAGCCGGAACGGATGCAACGGCAGGGCAGGCATCAGCTCCCTAGCACAGGTTCACAGGGCTGCGAGGGCCAGCTCCGGGGGCACCCAGGCACCCTCCGAGATGCCCAAACCATGGGCAAGGGGCTTCTCGCTGCCTGTCCTCTGCTAGCCGGGGGCTGACCCCCAGGAACCCCGCTAGCAGGGCCTCACTGGGAGTTGGGGTGGGGCGCTCCCTGCACTCACCACCAGGAGCTGGGCTCCACCGCCATCATTCCAGGTGATGCCCACCTCGACTGTGGAGCTCTAGGGAGCATCTGAGGGTCTGTGTCCAGCATCTGTGTTTGTGCCTAATAAGTGCCCGCTGCAGGGGCAGGCAGAGGAGCTCGGGTGGGGTGCCGTGGTGTTTACTCGTTGGGCTGCTAACCTCGAGGTCAGCAGTTGGAAAGCACTCAGCCCGCTCAGCGGGAGCAAAACAAGGCTTTCTTCTTCCGTGAAGAGCTCCCGGCTCAGAAACCCCCTGGGGCAGTTCTACTCTGTCCTATAGGGGCACTGGGAGTCGGCATCGACTTCATGGCAGTGGGTTTAGCTTTTAGAGGTGTGGCCATGTTGGGATTGAAATCGAATTACATTCCATTGGAAACCACCAGCTGCTCTGTGGAAGAAAGACGGGGATTTTTACGCCCATAAACAGTTGCAGTCTCGGAAACCCCCAGGGGCACTTCTGCCCTGTCCTGCAGGGTTGTTATGATTCGGCAGTGACTTGGTGGCAGAGCGTTTTTGAGTAACAGTTCCCCGGCAAACCCTCAGACCTGGGTCTCTACCGGCGGTGTGGCCTGGGGCAGGCCGGTGCCCTCTCTGAGCCTCAGAAAGTTCTGGCTTATGTGAAATGGGCATGATGACAGGCTGAGTAATTTAACCCAAGACCCAATGGTTTCCTGCTTTGAGTTTTTTGTTGAGGTGACGTGGATGATGATACGTGTGAGGGGGCTTCCAAAATCTCGTGGGGGGGGGAAATCTCATTTTTTAATTCCATCTTCCCACAAGCTTTTTTTTGAAAGCCTCTTCTTGCCTGGAGTCCGAGGCATGAGGCATTTCTTTCGATTCATGCAGTTTATACGGGCTCCCACCAGAGGGCAGCACACACAGACGGTGAGATGGCAGCTTTTTACTGAACCCCCAGGCGGAAAATAAAAGCCAGCACTCCATGACCCAGGTTACATCAGCGGTTCAAAACCGCCTGTCGTTTCAAGGGAGACTGATGGGGCTTTGTACTCCCATAAAGAGTTACCATCGCGGAAACTCACAGGGGGGCAGCTCTACCCTGTCCTAGCAGGCGGCTGTGAGTTGGGATAGAGGCAATGGGCAGGGGGCTTGGTTTTGGGTATGTGTCCCAGGGGCCACAAAGGGCGAAGCAGCATCAATGCTGCAGACCATTTCCTCTGTGCAGTCAGAAAGTGCACGGGCGTCACGAATGCTCCCTGGCTGCCCTGTGTCCAGCCTGTGGAGGCGGTGCCCGGAAGGGAGTCGGGAAGGCAGGCTTCCTGGAAGAGGAGGCACTGGAGCCCAGCCTTGGAGGAATTGCAGGCAGAGGGATGAGGGCAAGTGGGGGAAGGAGAAGGGCAGGGGCCTTCTGAGGGCACGGCCACCTGGGGCTGAGGGCAGGGCCCAAGAGGGGCTGCCAGCTCAGCTCAGTGACCCCTCATGGGCCAGGTAGAACCAGGCTCCGTGGGGGGAGGGGGCGTCCATAGCTTCCTTTTCAGGAGCAGAATGCCAGGCCTGTCTCCCAAGACCTCTGCCGAGCGGATGAATCAGTGGCACCAGACAGCGATGTCAGGACCGGAAGGTCAACGGCCAGAGGTGGAAGGGACTACCTGGGAGAGAGGAGACCCAGGGGCAGCCCCCCTGCATGAGGCTTGGCTGCTGGGCACCTGACGCCCTGCTACAACGACTCACCCACGGGCCCAACCCACCTAGAAGCCCCTCAAAGAAAGGCCTGGCAGTCTATTTCCAAAAGGTCGGAGCCTTGGAAACCCCATGGAGCCAGTCTACTCTGCACACGTGGGGCGGTTATCAGTCAGAATCAACGCCATGGCTGATTTATTTGGTGGTGGGTGGGGTGGGGCAGGGGTATGTACTTAATGGGGCGCACAGGGGCTGCAGGAAGCCAGGAGGTGGGTGGGAGGAGGGATGGGAGGAGGGAGGCATGCAGACCTCCTTCCTTTGTTTGGAGGGTGGGAGGCAAGATGTTGGGAGGAGCCGGGAAGGGAGGTGTTGAGTTAAGGGTGGGGCTCCCACCTGGGGATTGTGGCTTTATGCGCTCAGGTAACTGGCAGGCTTCGGCCCTCCAGGGCCCCCACCCAGTTTGTAAAGCACACTACAACCCCGTTTATAAAACACAGTAAAACTCGGCCAGCCTTCACCCACGGTCCCTTGGCTCAGAGCCAGGCTCTGCAGAGAGTGTGACGTGAGGGGCCCTGTCTCCGCCCCGTAGACACTTACCTCTCAAAGGCCAGACGCAAGGCCACCAGGACCAGCGCCAGGGGCAGGGCTGCCAGCAGGTCCTGGGGGTGGGGGTAGATCTGGCCATCTCGGTCCTCCAGGTCCGCCCATGAGCTGTTGGGCGGCAGCCAGAGCTTGTCCTGCCATAGCCACTCGTTCAGGACGGACAACATCCTGTGGACACAAGCTCCAGTTCAGGTGAGGAGCAAGGCGGCACAAGCCGCTCCCACCTTTCCACTCCCGCCCATCAGCTCCCGGAGAGGATGTCGGACAGTAGACTTGGGGCTCTGGCTGACCCCTAGGTGAAGGGTAGCTACCCCAGCCCATCTTCTTCACTCTGCTGTGGCCTGGGCTGCCACCCCGTCCACGCTCGGTCACCATGCTGGGTGCCGGGGGGGACCCCTCGCACAGATGCCCTAACAGGTAAGAGTTCTGGACAGAGGAGGCCGTGTGGTCCCAGAAAAGCACCTGGCTTCCCCGGACCTCCAGCTCATCTGAAAAACAGGGGCAGTGCCACCCGTCTGTCGGAAGAGGCGAGCGTGTTGCTAGAACGCTAGGCAGCTTCCAGCCAAGCTTTGAGACTAAGATGAAGTAGGAGGAAAGGCCTGGTGATCTACTTCTGAAAACCAGCCACCGGGAATCCTATGCTGCATCGATGTCTGGAGAAATTGATTGGGGCAGAGTTCGGTTGTTGTGCACGGGGTCGCTGTGACCTGGGGCTGGTTTGCAGACAACCACCACACGCCTGCAGTCCACCTGGCTAAGGCACATGGAGAGCGTCTTATTACCTGATGCTGATGGACCCTCAGCCAGAATGACCGGAAGTCAAGTGAGGACCAGGCAGTGTTTCATTCTAATGCACAGGGTCGCTATGGGTTGGAACCAACGCGATCGCATCTAACTACAGCAGCAGCAATGGAAGTCGAGGAGTGGCTGAGGTTCCTTCTGCTGCAGGACGCCACCCCATAATGCAAACAAAAAGGGTTTAAGACAATCTATCCCGCCCTGGCTGTCTTGGGCTTCCTCTATGGGAAGGTAGGTGGGTAAGAGAGCCTGGCTCAGGGAGGGGCACGGCAGGCACAGGAAGGGTGTCAAGAGGCATCGGGGGCAGTCTGTGTCCCCCAATAGCCCGGCCTGTGTGAGGAGCCCCAAGTGCTTCTCCCTCTTCTGCAATCTGGGGTCAAGTACCTAAACCCCGGCACCAGTCCCCTTTGGGATGGTATGTTCACCCATCCATTATCAATCCACTCATCCACCTACCCACCCACCCACCCACCCATCTACCAATCCCGTGACTCTGATCCATCAACCCACCTACTAATCTACCCATTTATCCACTCACCCACTCATCCATCCATCTATACTTATCTATCAACCCACCTACCCACTCATTGACCAATCTATCCACTCACCACTCATCCATCCACACCTATCAACCCATCTACCCACTCATCCAACAACCCATTCACTCATCCACTCATCCATCCACACCTATCAACCCATCTACCCACTCATCCACCAACCCATCCACTCACCCACTCATCCATCCACACCTATCAATCCATCTACTCACTCATCCACCAATCCATCCACTCACCCACTCATCCATCCACCCATCCATCCACACCTATCTATCAACCCATCTACCCACTCATCCAACAACCCATCCACTCACCCACTCATCCATCCACACCTATCAACCCATCTACCCACTCATCCACCAATCCATCCACTCACCCACTCATCAATCTACCCATCCATCCACACCTATCTATCAACCCATCCACCCACTCATCCACTTTCATCTACCAATCCATCCATCATCTGTCTATCCACTCACCCACCCACCCACTCCTATGCACCTACTTATTTACTCACTCATTCATATGCCCGTATGCCCTCCTAGCCTCCTGTCCGGCAGAGATCTGACTGGAAGAGCTCCATATTTGTGCCCAGTCCAAAGAAAAATGACCCAACAGAATGCTCAAACTATAGAACAAGACCACTGACATTGCACGCAAGTAAAATGTGGCTGAAGATCATCCAACAACAGTTACAACAGCACCTTGACAGGGAACTGCCAGAAGTTCAGGCGGGATTCAGAAGAGGATGTAAAACAAAGGATCTCATTGCTGATGTCAGACGGATCTGGGCTCAAAGCAGAGAGTACCAGAAAGATGTTGACTTACGGTTCATTGACTATGCAAAGGCATTCAACTGTGTGGACCATACTAAACTGTGGATCACCTTGAGAATGGAAATTCCAGAACACTTCTATGTGCTCATGCAGAACTTGCACATGGATCAAGAGGCAGTTGTCTGAACAGAACAAGGGAATACTGCATGGCTTAAATCAGGAAAGGTGGGTCAGGGTAGTTTCCATTCACCATATTTGCTCAATCCATATGCCCAGTAAATCATCAAAGAAGCTGGATTATATTGAGTGTGCTATCAGTATTGGAGGAAGGCCTATTGAGAATCTCCGATATGCAGATGACACAACCTTGCTTGCTGAAAGTGAGGAGGACTTGAAGCACTTCTTGTTGAAGATCAAAGATTAACACTCAATGTCAAGAAAACCCAAATCCTCACAACTGGACCAATCGGTAACATCATGATAAATGGAGGACAAGTTGAAGTTGTCAAGGATTTTGTCTTCGATGCTCATGGAAACAGCAGTCACGGGATCAAAGAGGTATGGCATTAGGTCAGTCTGCTGCACACGCCCTCTTTAGAGTACTGAAGAGCCAGGTGTTACTTTGAAGGCTAAGGCGCACCAGACCCAAGCCAGGCTGTTCTCTAAGATGTATGTCAACGTTGGCCACCAGATAAGGAAGACTGGAGAAGAATCGATGCCTTTGAATTGTGGGGCTGGAGACGAACAAAGGGACCAACTGTCTTGGAAGAAGTCAGGTCAGAATGACTCCTTAGAGGCAAGGAGGGCAAGACTTCGTCTTACACATTTTGGACATGTTGTCAGGAGGGACCAGTCCCTGGAGTGGGCAGTGACAAAGAGGAAGGCCCTCAGTGGACACACTGGCTGCATCAGCGGGCACAGAGGTAATGGTGAGGACGCTGCAGGACTGCGCAGTGGTTCATTCTGTTGTCCTAGGGCCGCTGTGGGTAGGAGCTAACTCCATGGCACCTAGCAACAACAACCCATCTACCTACAAAGCCCTGGTGGGGTAGTGGTTCTGAGCTTGGCTGTTAACCATAAGGTCAGTGGTTGGAAACCACCAGGTGCTTGCTCTGCAGAAGAAAGGCTTTCTTCTCCCGTAAAGATTTACAGTCTTGGAAGTTCTAACCTATCCTAGAGGGTCATGATAAGTTGGCATTGATCTGATGGCACTGAATTTTGGGATACCTACCCATCCACTCACCCATCCACCTATCCATTAGCCTATCAATTAATCCATCCACCCACCCATCCATCCACTCACTCCCACCCACCCATCCATCTTATCCACTTATCCATCTACCAGTCCGTCCATCTGTCTGTCCACCCACCCACCTGTCCGTTGTCCAGACAACCGATGTTCCTTGGTTGACAAGCACACACCAGGTTGGGGTAAAGCACCAGGGAGCTAGCAGAGAACAAAGGATACCCATTCCTGACCCTAGAACTCCCAGCCCAGCCCAGAGAGAAGGATACAGATTCTTAAGGAAATGAGGTGCAGTAGGTAGGGGGCCTGGCAGCAAGCTGGCTGGGTGTGGTCTCGCAAGGCTCTAACAGGAGAGACCAGCTGAATGGGGACCTGAAGGATGAGGAGGTGGGGGGCTGAACAATGCGCTGTGTGAGGATCGTACAGGTGGGTTAGAGACCGTGCAGGGGTGGAGGGAGTAGGTGGGGAGTGAGGTGGGAGGTAACGGTCACCGGAGGGTGGGGGAGTCTGGGTTATCTCAACTTCTTATGAGACGTGTCAGACGCATCGAAACCTTAACAGGAATTTCACAGTGCACACACCTATGTGCGAGGTAATGTAATCTCTGCCTTAGGACGTCGCGTGCACCCGTGTGTGCACACACACCTCGCCCTTTCGCTCTTCCTTACAGCTTATCATCATGCAATGGGGCATCTGCTGGTGGCATCCTATGTATTCACATGTAATGTGTCCAACCCCAAGGATGAAGATGGGATTGATAAGTATTCAGATACTAAAAGGCAATAATGATGAAAACTTTTTTAAAAAGGTGGACTCAGTCAATGGGACAGGTGGGGACGACCTGCACCCACCACACCTGGATGGATCCTACAGTACTGTTTACTCTTTGCTTTACCTCCCTGGGGTGAAAGGAGTTGTGTGTGTGTGTCTTGGCTCTTTGAGGAACGCCCTGGGCCAGTACCCTGCCTTAGCTTTCTAAGACCCAGTGGGTTTGGTACTTTTATCCTAGTTGATGGGTGGTTGTTATTAGGAGCCATCGAATAAGATTCAAACCACAGGGACTGTATGTGAAACAGAATGAAACACAGTCCCGTCCTGCCCAGCCTTACCAAGGTTCCTATGTCTGAGCCTGTTGCTGCAGCCACTGTGTCCGTCCCTCTGCCAAACATGATGGCCTCCTCCAGGAACTGGTCTCTCCTGATGGATAATATGTCCCATGTACGTAAGATGAAGTCTCACCATCCTTGCCTCTAAGGAGCGCTCTGACCTTTCTTCTTCCAAGACGGATCTGTTTGTCCTTTTAGCAGTCCATGGTACTTTCAATATTCTTCTCCAGCGCCACGCTTCAAATTGTGGTCAGGCACACCTTAGTCCTCAAAGTAACACCCCTGGCTCTTTACTACTCTAAAGAGGCCTTGTGCAGCAGATTTACCTAATGCAACACATCCACTGCTGCTTCCATGAATATTGATTGTGGGGTCAAGCATCTGTCGGGAATCCTCTGCTTTGAGCCAAGATCCATCCGACATCAGCAATGACATTCCTTGTTCCATGTCCTGAATCTGGCCTGAACTGGCAGTTCTCTGTCAAGGTACTGCTGCAACCGTTGCTGGATGATCTTGAGCAAAACTTTATGGGTGAGCAATGTCAATGGCATCCTTCTACAGTTGGCACATTCTGTGGGGTCATCTTTTTTTGGAATGGGTACACACATGTGGATCTCTTCCAATCAGTTGGCCTGCCAGCTTTCTCCCAAATTTCCTGGCATAGACGAGTGAGGGAGTGCTTCCA